TACAGGATCTGGAAAGGGACAGTCTCCTACATGTCGACTATTATTACAGGATCTGGAAAGGGACAGTCTCCTATATGTCGCCTGTTAGTATGGGATCTGGAAAGGGACAGTCTCCTACACGTCGACTGTTATTAAGTTATCTAGAAAGGGAATATTCTCCTACATGTCGACTGTTAGTACAGGATTAAGAAAGGGAACATTCTCCTACACGTTGACTGTTAGTATGGGATCTGGAAAGGAACAGTCTCCTACACGTCGACTGTTAGTACGGGATCTGGAAAGGGACAGTCTCCTACATGTCGCCTGTTAGTATGGGATCTGGAAAGGGAGAGTCTCCTACATGTCGCCTGTTAGTACAGGATCTGGAAAGGGACAGTCTCCTACATGTCGACTATTATTACAGGATCTGGAAAGGGACAGTCTCCTATATGTCGCCTGTTAGTATGGGATCTGGAAAGGGACAGTCTCCTACACGTCGACTGTTATTAAGTTATCTAGAAAGGGAATATTCTCCTACATGTCGACTGTTAGTACAGGATTAAGAAAGGGAACATTCTCCTACACGTTGACTGTTAGTACGGGATCTGGAAAGAGACAGTCTCCTACACATGGACTGTTAGTACGTTATGTAGAAAGGGAACATTGTCTAACACGTCGACTGTTAGCACGGGATATTGAAAGGGACAGTCTCCTACACGTCGACTGTTATTACGTTATCTAGAAAGGGAATATTCTCCTACATGTCGACTGTTAGTACAGGATTAAGAAAGGGAACATTCTCCTACACGTTGACTGTTAGTATGGGATCTGGAAAGAGACAGTCTCCTACACATGGACTGTTAGTACCTTATCTAGAAAGGGAACATTGTCTAACACGTCGACTGTTAGCACGGGATATTGAAAGGGACAGTCTCCTACAGGTCGACTGTTAGTACGGGATGTGGAAAGGGACAGTCTCCTAAACGTAGACTGTTGGTACGGGATCTGCACAGGTCGACATGTAGGAGAATATTCCCTTTCTAGATAACGTAATAACAGTCGACGTGTAGGAGACTGTCCCTTTCCAGATCCCATACTAACAGGCGACATGTAGGAGACTGTCCCTTTCCAGATCCTGTAATAATAGTCGACATGTAGGAGACTGTCCCTTTCCAGATCCTGTTATAATAGTAGACATGTAGGAGACTCTCCCTTTCCAGATCCCATACTAACAGGCGACATGTAGGAGACTGTCCCTTTCCAGATCCTGTAATAATAGTCGACATGTAGGAGACTGTCACTTTCCAGACCCCGTTTCAAGTTTTTTCAAGAATTGACCCTTTACTGCCAACATCACAGGGGCTGTGTACATGTTTCAAGAATTGATCTTTTACTGTCAACATCACAGGTGCTGTGTACATGTTTCAAGAATTGATCTTTTACTGTCAATATCACAGGGGCTGTGTACATGTCTCTAGAATTGATCTTTTACTGTAGACATCACAGGGGCTGTGTACATGTCTCAAGAATTGATCTTTTACTGTCAACATCACAGGGGCTGTGTACATGTCTCAAGAATTGATCTTTTACTGTCAACATCACAGGGGCTGTGTACATGTCTCAAGAATTGATCTTTTACTGTCAATATCACAGGGGCTGTGTACATGTCTCAAGAATTGATCTTTTACTGTCGACATCACAGGGGCTGTGTACATGTTTCAAGAATTGATCTTTTACTGTCGACATCACAGGGGCTGTGTACATGTTTCAAGAATTGATCTTTTACTGTCAACATCACAGGGACTGTGTACATGTCTCAAGAATTTCCCATTTAATGTCAAGATGATTGGGGCCATGTATAAGTTCCAAGAACTGCAATGTTGAAGTCCATATTTATGTTGAGAATGATTTATTTGGTGGGTTTTTTGCTTCATAAACATTCAGGGTCATTTTGAGACAGAACCTTCTTCTAGGAACTGGTGGCTACTTCACTGAACAGCACATGAGACATGCTATACAGAGCTATTGGGGTGAAGTCTCTTGCCCAAGGATACCAACTTGACAGCATAGACCTGTCTGTTTCTGAGTTTTGGGAGATCAAGTCCATACTTGGCCTGTAGGTATCTTGAATGAAGTGTTCTAAATTGTCTTCACTTTAAACGTTGTGCTTACTATATAGAGTAGTGATTACGTGCAGGATCACTAAGGCTAATGCTTTGATAAGTGTTGCCTAAACAGGATATTCTGCTCAACATGAAGAATACAAACATTTATGAGAACAGGTATGATGTTGCAGCCCACCATGTTGAATTTTTGTTCTTGAATAGTACTGACATGATCAAGATCTCCACCTAATGCATTACTATTACTGTGGTGATGGCATTTATAAACCCTTTGGTACATAATACATCATACAAGAAGAAAAGGAGACAATGAATATAACCAAATGATATTCCATGATCTGTTGTAAGTGAGCAAGAAAAGTCATCTAGAATGTTTCTGACAAAGGGAAGTAACCTAGTAGTACATGTATTCCATATCCTGTAAATAGCTTGATATGATAAACCATGTGTGATAAAAGACAACTATTAAGCTGGTAATAAATAGAATATCCAACTAGCCAGCTGGGTATCAATAGAAGAATTAACTAGTATGCTGGTAATCAATAGAATAATCAACTAGTAAGCTTGTAATCAACAGAATAATCAACTGGAAAGCTGGTAATCAATAGAATATTCAACTAGTCTGCTGGTAATCAATAGAAAAATCAACTAGTCAGCTGGTAATCAACAGAATAATCAACTAGTAAGCTGGTAATCAACAGAATAATCAACTAGTCAGCTGGTAATCAACTAGTCAGCTGGTAATCAACTAGTAAGCTGTTAATCAATAGAATAATCAACTAGTAAGCTGGTAATCAACAGAATAATCAACTAGTAAGCTGGTAATCAACAGAATAATCAAATAGTCTGCTGGTAATCAACAGAATAATAAACAAATAAGCTGGTAATCAACAGAATACTCAACTAGTCAGCTGGTAATCAACAGAATAATCAACTAGTAAGCTGGTAATCAACAGAATATTCAACTAGTCTGCTGGTAATCAATAGAAAAATCAACTAGTCAGCTGGTAATCAACAGAATAATCAACTAGTAAGCTGGTAATCAACAGAATAATCAACTAGTCAGCTGGTAATCAACTAGTCAGCTGGTAATCAACTAGTAACTGTTAATCAATAGAATAATCAACTAGTAAGCTGGTAATCAACAGAATAATCAACTAGTAAGCTGGTAATCAACAGAATAATCAAATAGTCTGCTGGTAATCAACAGAATAATAAACAAATAAGCTGGTAATCAACAGAATACTCAACTAGTCAGCTGGTAATCAACAGAATAATCAACTAGTAAGCTGGTAATCAACAGAATAATCAACTAGTCAGCTGGTAATCAATAGAATAATCAACTAGTCAGCTGGTAATCAACTAGTTAACTGTTAATCAATAGAATAATCAACTAGTAAGCTGGTAATCAACAGAATAATCAACTAGTCAGCTGGTAATCAACAGAATAATCAACTAGTAAGCTGGTAATCAACAGAATAACCAACTAGTAAGCTGGTAATCAACAGAATAATCAACTAGTAAGCTGGTAATCAACAGAATAACCAACTAGTAAGCTGGTAATCAACAGAATAATCCACTAGTAAGCTGGTAATCAACAGAATAATCAACTAGTAAGCTGGTAATCAATAGAATAATCAACTAGTCAGCTGGTAATCAACTAGTAAGCTGTTAATCAATAGAATAATCAACTAGTAAGCTGGTAATCAATAGAATAATCAACTAGTCAGCTGGTAATCAATAGAATACTCAACTAGTCAGCTGGTAATCAACAGAATAATCAACTAGCCAGCTGGTAATCAATAGAATAATCAACTAGACAGCCTGTAATCAATAGAATAATCAACTAGTAAGCTGGTACATAAAACATTATTCAACAAAAAAAGGAGGCAATGCATATAACCAAATGATATTCCATGATCTGTTGTAAGTGAGCAAGAAAAGTCATCTAGAATGTTTCTCTGACAAAGGGAAGTAACCTAGTAGTACATGTATTCCACATCCTGTAAATAGCTTGATATGATAAACTATGTGTGATAAAAGACAACTATTAAGCTGGTAATAAATAGAATATTCAACTAGCCAGCTGGGTATCAATAGAATAATTAACTAGTATGCTGGTAATCAACAGAATAATCAACTAGTAAGCTTGCAATCAACAGAATAATCAACTAGTCAGCTGTGTATCAACAGAGCAAGAGGCCCAGAGGGTCTGTATCGCTCACCTGGATCTTTATTACCAACATTACTATATCTGTGCATATGATCCACGTCTTTGTTGGACTTCATCAAAGGAACCTTCCTGCCATATATAATGATTCTAGGCCTTCTGGTATTTTGGAAGAAGTCGTTCAAAAGGTTTTAACACATTTGACCTCTGTGACCTTGAATATGGGTCAAGGTCATTTCTTTTTGCAAACTTTGTTGGGCTTCATCAAAGGAACCTTCCAGCAATATATAATGATTCTAGGCCTTCCGGTATATTGGAATAAGTCGCCTAAATGTTTTAACACATTTGACCTCTGTGACCTTGAATATGGGTCCAGAATATTTTTTTGCAAAATTTGTTGGGCTTCATCTAATGAACATTCCAGCCAAATAAGATGATTCTAGGCCTTCTGGTATTTTGGAAGAAGTCATTTAAATGTTTTAACACATTTGACCTCTGTGACCTTGAATATGGGTCAAGGTCATTTCTTTTTGCAAACTTTGTTGGGCTTCATCAAAGGAACCTTCCAGCCAAATATGATATCTCTACGCCTTTCTGTATTTCTGAAGAAGTTGTTTAAATGAAAAGTTGACGGACGACCGACTCTTGACTCACTTGACTCTTTGGGCCAAGGTGAGCTAATAATCAACTAGTAAGCTGGTAATCAATAGAATAATCAACTAGTCAGCTGGGTATCAATAGAATAATCATGCCTTTATTTTACACTCTTTCTTTCACAAAACTATGTAAAAATACTTCCAAGTCATTACACATGAACACACTTCTCGCATTTAAAGATTGGTCAATTTTTTACTTTTTCACAGATTTCTTTTTCCATATATGCTTGTATTTATTTGAGTCATAGTCATCTTCATATTCTTCCATCACAGCCATCTTTTTACGTGGTGTCCTTCTACGGATTACTTCATTAGCTTCTTCCTCTGATAGTCCACCGAGATCAAGAGGTAACTGCACAGAAAAATTTTTTACAGACAAAAGTTATCGGAATATCTAGAAAATTTGTTTTTTCTTTTTCAAAATAAATAATTCAACAATATTGATATGTTCACTGTAATAGGGTAATATTTTGTATATTGGCACCGATTCCTGTAGTATCTATATTTTGTCTTGTAGTATATATATATATATATGTACTGGTTATGTACATGTGTGTATTATTTATCATCGCAAACACATCGTTAGTGTCACATTTTACCTGCGTGTGTAACGTTTACACGTATTGGCGAGTGCGTCCCTTTGTGTAGTGTATATGTATGTACTTGTATACGCGAGTAGTGTTCACTGACCGACTGGACACAAGACATTTGACGGACTTTGACGAAGGTGTTTGATTGGTTGAAAGTTTCTCCTAGGTATACGTCTTTTGTATGTTACTATATCGGGGTACATTTGAATCCTGGCTTGCGGGTTAGATGGATGTTCAAATGTCAGGTTCCTCGGGGTTTGTCTTTATGGTAAGTTTTCTCTAACTTTATTTCTTTCTAGTTAAAGTATTTCTTCTAATATATTCTCCTTGTGAGTGATGAGAGTTTGTATGAACAATATAATGTTCAATGATATGTTTTAACGTTCAGGGTAATATTTGGAATCAACGATGTATATGTATTATAATATTCGTAAATCCTATACTTTACCAATGTATAAGCGTTATGCATTTCTTGCTTGAAGTATTCTGTAAATTGAATAAGAGGTTATTTCTTATTTGTAGTTCTACTATAAATGACGGATGAAGTGATATTGTGGAGTGTTGCAAACTCATACATGACTTGTACGTTAGCGCACGATACGTGTTGTAAATGTGATTTTACTTTATTACTATTGGAATGGTCATGTTATTAAGTATTTTATTGGATCTTATATTTTATTCAAACAAATGCAGAAGTATTAATATTGTTTCACTCGGTGAAATGTAATATGTTAATGAAAGAAGAGTATGAATTGTTGAATATGTAACAAGCGATTTGTCAAGTTGTGAGAGTATTTGATTATGTTTTATTGTATTGTAACCCTGGTAAAATACTAGCCGCAATATACCACTCGGCTAGAGAGAACTTCTCTTTAGCTCGATTGGTTGAACGTCAGACTATTAAGTCAGGGGTCAGGGGTCACCGGTTCGATTCCTAGCGTAGGCATTGAAATGAATACTGTTACAGTATATTCCAAATGTCTATTTTACATCGATTAAACATTGAACAAACCCAGCGTTTTTGGTTTTTTTTGGCACAACACCACCCGCTACATCACCATTGGAATTTTGAAGTATAAACGACATCCCTGGGGGATCTTGGCACTACCATTATTCGATTTTTATCTACTCTTTGAAAATTTGATCTTTTCCCTTTTTTTCCCTTCTCTCTGTTTTTGCTCTTAATGATAAGACAGTTGACCATTCCTTTGCAGAAATAGTCATGATAATCTTTACCTGCCAAATCCAAAATAGCTACAAGGAAACCATTTTGTTTCTTCTGATCAGTTCCAAAACCAAATGGGCACAAGAAGAGATCAAAGGGAACATACATATGAAATTTGATAGATATCCATTCAGTACTTCTCAAGAAAAAGGGATAACAATCTTTACTAGGCGAAATCTAAGATGGCTGCCTGTTTGCAATTTTGTTTTTCCAATCAGACTTAAACTCCAATAGGTACAACTTGGGATCAAAAGGAATCTTTATATGAAAAAAAGATCTACACAGTAATTCTCAAGAAATAGCGATAACAAACTTTCAATGTCAAAATCTAAGATGGCTGTTTGTCGTCCATTTTGTTTTTCTGATCAGACCCAAAATCAAATGGGCACAACCAGGGACTGTGGGGAACCTACAATTGAAATTTAAGAAAGATCCAATTAGCACTTTAAAGAAATAGCAACAACAATCTTCATTGAAAAAATCCAAGGTGGCCACCGTTTGGCCATTTTGGTTTTTTTTTTATCATTCCCAAAATCAAATGGGCACAACCAGGGACCGTGGGGAACCTACATATGCATTTTGAGAAAGAATCACCCTGTACTTCTCAAGAAATAGCTTTAACAAAAATTGTTTACTGACACAGGGATGGATGCAGGGTGATTTAAACAGCCCACCATCTAATGTGTTAAAAAATCGGTAAGCAGGACCAGACAAGGCCAATGAAGATCTTCTGTAACTTTATTAGTTGACTAGTTTCGGCACACTAGGTATGCCGTCCTCAGAACAGTGCAAATTCAAAAAGCAGGACTTTATATACTCCTGTGCCTAGCAACTACACATGTTATTTCCACCAACGTCAAAGAGAGTACACTAGTTACAATGACGTAATCTATTGGTGACGTCATAATGCAAGTAAAAACAGATAATAGTGGAGTTCCGCTTTGCCCTAGGCTAATGCTATGTAATGTACAAATATCAATAAAAGGAAATTATAAAACTGATAAAGAGATACAGCAATTAGCAACGTTATCTACGGTATATATACCAATGAATAAATATATAAGAAGTCTATCCTACGGCTGGAAATATTAAACAGGTATGTAGGAAATGTTCGTTTCTAATACAGCTGTCATTAGAATCTAATTATGATAATAGTACAAGTTAATTTAAGACTTAAAAACTCAGTATATCAATATTAACCAATGGCGAATAAACAGATTACCAAATAATGTTCATAATATAAAAGCACAACTATACATAATAAGAATGACAGTTTATATTTAGTCTTAAATATCCAGACATGTAGCCGGGTTGAGAATTTTTTAAAGTTCTTACACTATCCGTGTCTGATATTCAGTCCATGTGGTTCCGCGGTGTTTAAATACGTGATAAAGGCTTCTTCCGTACGTAAGCGGGTATTTACATTCTTCAATGTGATTTTAAGTCCAGTAATTTTCACACTTCCTGCGTCATGTCCTGTAGATGTATAGTGATGCGAGACTGGTTTGTGTTTGTTGGCATTCCTGATGTCAGCAAAATGGCCATGAAAGCGTTCCCTGATTGAATTTCCCGTTTGTCCAATATATTGGATTCCCCATTTTTGACATGGTATCATCAAAAATGCAGAATCCAATATATCTGTATCTCTTTATCAGTTTTATAATTTCCTTTTATTGATATTTGTACATTACATAGCATTAGCCTAGGGCAAAGCGGAACTCCGCTATTATCTGTTTACTTGCATTATGACGTCACCAATTAATTACGTCATTGTAACTAGTGTACTCTCTTTGACGTTGGTGGAAATAACATGTGTAGTTGCTAGGCACAGTAGAATATAAAGTCTTGCTTTTTTAATTTGCACTGTTCTGAGGACGACATACCTAGTATGCCGAAACTAGTCAACTAATAAAGTTACAGAAGATCTTCATTGGCGTTGTCTGGTCCTGCTTACCGATTTTTTAACCTATCCTTTGGTACCGGACTCAGTATTCGCTCAGGAAATCCGCTGTGGAGTGAAACTGGACTCACCAGCCTTACCTCTTGGACGTTGGATCTCTTTTTCTTCGTAATGTGTTAAAAGTTTAAACAGGTCTAAACAGTTTACAATATTCTGTCACTATAATGTGAACATGGATTACACTCAGCTAAGCTAAGCAATAAAAAAAAAAAAAAAAAATGGTCAACTAGGTACCAGGCTTGCTTCTCTTGGTAACATGAACTTTCAGTACTTACCGTGATAAGTTTTCTAGGTTCCTTATATCTGACAGAGATGGTGGAGCCGTCTGGATAAACTACTGTTGTGGGATATTGGCGTACATAAACTCTCCTTCGGTAGCGTGTCAGTGATGTTCTGCTGGACATAGTTTGATACTGATGTATGAAATGTCCTTGACAAACTTTACATAACGACTCTCCAAGCCTGAAAATTCAAATACAATGTATGATTAAAACAGAGTTGTAATGTAAAATGTTTACACATCAGTGCCACAGTATTGCAAAGACATTAGTTTTACAATGAACTTTCCAATACATAACCTGTGGCAGTCTTATAAATGGCTGTTCTTTGGAGGAAGACCTGGCCACTACAGACTGGAAAGTGTCTGGTTTCAATGGTTGGTTTTCCCTTCTACCTTCACATTGAAAGCTTTCAGATCATTGAGAGAACAACTGAAATTATCCAACTAACCAAAATCTGAACAATGTTTGCCACTCATTTAGACAATCTTTCCTGGAAGTAGCAAAACCAAGACATTGGTTTATTTGGAAGATAAAATATCCTTTGTCTGGTGTTCAATCAACAGTAAAGCATGAAAAGTTACAGATCTTGACATGAAATAAGATTTCAATATTTTTCAAGTTTGCTACCTAAATATATATGTATGCTGTATTATATATATGATTTTTAATTATGGAGGTGGATGCTAACAGTTTGAAGCATTCTGCACATCCACAGTTTTGTCTTTGTTGTGGATGATAAGTTTCAATTCTTTTTTATTTCTTGTCTCTAGCATGATCAATTGTTGACTGCAGCTTAGAAGAAAAATTAAATTGCTGGTAAAAAGGCGGAACCCTTTAGAACAGTTAAGAAAATGTGAGAAAACAAAATATATAAAGAAAACATAAAAAATTAAAAGATATTCCAGAGGGAAAATGGCCCTCACCATTCCTTGATATCTATTCAATCTTTAAAGTTGAACTTTTTCTGAAGAAACAGCAAAATCTAACTTCCAAGTTTCACTTTAAGATATACTGATGATGCCTTGTCTTTTAAATAAGAAGAAATTTGTTGGCCATGTTCATCTTATAAACACCAAAAACTTCATGGACATGACAGCTACATCAGCTTCTCACTTTGATCTTTACCTACGACGAAATTAGCAGGGACAGATTTACACCTAGCTATATGATAAGTGTAAAGATTTAATTTTCCATTTCTGGAAAGCAACATCCCTGCATCCCCAACCTATGGTATCCACATGTTGTACTTGATTATATATTCTAGGACATGCTCCCAGTATCGTGATTTTCATGCAAGAAGTTGGCATCTGACAAACTCTGTCCCAAATCAAAATGACAACTATAAGGACCAAGGGGAACCTACATGTGCAATTTGATAAAATTCCATCGAAGTGCTTAAGAAATAGTGAAATCAAACTTTTCAACTTGAGGGTTTTGAGAGATGCAACTTGATAAAGATCATTGAAAAGTTTTATGGTTGTCATAATGATCTCGTTAAGAAATAATGTATTTCTATGTGTGAAATGAAGCTGAACATGTTTGATGTTCATTAATAGGCCTCATGGTGCTGTTGTTTTTACCTTGTTCTCATTTGGGAATGAAAAAGTACAAGAATAATCCTTGCACTTTTTCAGGAGTCACCATGTAAATTTTTCTTTGTTCATATTTTGCCCTAGTTTTATTAACTTTAAGTTAGAATAATGAATTATTACTCTGTTTACATGTCAATATTTTCTTTGTTGTTTCATTATCAAAATTGAAAATAACCACTTGTTAGACATTATGTTTTTCTTGAGAAGTCCCAAATCGGGGAGAGCACAGCTAAAGACCACTGAGAACCTACATATGAAATTTGTGAAAGAGCAATATGTTAACATGAATTGTTAATGGACAGACAGCAGACATCAGATGTAGGGTGATGAGGTTCATAATCTCATTTGAAATGGAAACGAATGTGATATTATGTTTAATATAAATTTAAGAATTGTGCCTTTTGCAACCATTCACAAAAACAACATTGAATAAGACACAACAAATCTTAAACGCCGATGTAACCGCTTTCCAGAGACGTCACAATGCGTTGACAGTGAACCTACGACGTCACAACGGAAAAAATGGGAACCTTCAGCCAATCCGCTCGGTCAAATTACACGTGTGTAACAACAAAAAAATACGTAATTGATGTAATGGGGAAGCTAATTACGCGATAAAGTATCGTATACAAGTTTGGAATAACGATGTATGTGAAAAGAGCAGTGGTACCCTCGTTTCATAACATTCCATATTTTTCAATCCATCATTAGTCTCGCGAAACCGAGCCACTGTTTTCCAAGATGCGAAGTATGTAACATTATTTATGCATTATGTACTTGCGAAAATGACATCAAAGAAAATCATTGAGTAGTTGCATATAACAATGACCTTGCTAAAGCCGCCATGTTCGTTTACCACCACTTCCGGTTTGTCGCATACATAATTCACAATAAATTTATTATTTAACCTTATTTATTAAATCGTTCTAATGATCTTGTAGTTGCAAATATTTCATGGGATAATTCGTTGAAAGTTTGATACTTTCTGACTGATTCTAAATCTCAACGTAGAACATGTCACATGACCCATATCACCAGTCGTAGAAAATCATGTGACTTGCTTTCATTTTGTACCAGGTTAAGTCTGCTGTCACAAAACTCTATTGACATTCTATACAACATCAAAGATCCTCCTGAAATGACCGCGTTTTTTTTATCGGTTGTGCTGTTTACGTTATTACTTAACTGTAAGTACATGTTTTGTGCACTTTGATAGATTTGACTGAGGTATATACTGTGGTCTGTTTTAAGTAGTGGTCTTGGACCTACGTTTCGTTACTTAGGTCTACAATGTATATGACATATGTGTAAAGGACTAACACATGCTACCGTTTACAAACAGGAAAGTATCTCCAACGAAGACTTAATGAACTGTTAATTATTCCATTCTCTGTGTCTTCCATCCATGATCAACATATGAGTGATCATACGATCATTGATTGACAGCTTGTATTTGTAACAGAGGTTATTATGTATTTCATTAACTCTGCTAGGATTTGAATCCGGCACCTCTGGGTAACTATTCTGATGCTCAACCGATTTAGCTAAAGAGAAGCTCTCTGTAGCAGAATGGTATATCATGGCTAGTACTTACATACTCTCCCTTCAGGAAAGAACTCATCCTCGAGTTTACAGGGGTTAAACCAAGGTCTTTTGGACAACGCTAGGTATTATTCCTGAGTCCCTACAGAGGTGCTAATGTGACAGAGGTCATTATTTATTTCAATGCCACCTCTAGGATTTGAACGTGGGTCCCTTGACTTACCAGTCTGTTACTAGTATTTACCAGGTTACATATTGTGGTAGGAACTGCCCTACATAGACCTTGTCAGTTGTTGTTGTATTGTGTTGATTGATGTTGATTGTCAATAGTATCACGTAATCTGTCTCTTTGAACTTCCGGTCTAATAAAAAGCTGCTGCAGTGGTCACCATGACCATATTGGCGACGAGGATAAAAAATTCTGACCATTTGTCCACTTACATTGGGTAAATATTTGTGTTTGAACCAATTTTCATCGGCAGTGTGAGAAATCTCCCGCCATTACGTCAGCCACGGTTGTTCACACCACCGCAGTTAACATATATTTATTATTAATACTATTCTGTCATTTTTGTATGAATTCGGCTTGTATGTAATTCTTTTCTGTATGATTTCGTGTGTTTCTGAGCTTATCAATACTTTATTATGAATCACATGTTATGTGGTCAGGTTTATTAACTTTGCTTACACCACCGTTTAAAACAAAATTTGTCTTCACCTAATTTCGCTCGGAATCGCAATTCCCATCTCATATAAACATTTAAATAACATGATGTTCTGAATAAAATATATTTTTAGTCATAAATTCCAATTTTATTGCATATTTCTACCCTGCCATGTAAATATTGTTGGGAGTTCACACTTCCACCTGTCAAATATTATTGCAAGGATTGTAACAATACATGTTCAATTCGCTCCGTTTGAGGAATTGCAGACAATCCGTGGAGTCGGTCCTGTAAAGGCAGAAAATATTATCAAATTGCAAAACGTAAAATGCCTTACAGTAACAGATCTCGTCATTGCCACTGGGATAAATGAACAAACATGGCACTTCAGCAAACCCAATGAGAAAGTTTGGCATGGTTGGTGGACAAAGGGGACACAAAATTTCAGGATAGATCTACTAAGAAACATCAGTCAGAGAGGAATTCAAAGTCGAGTGATTCAGGTACCTCACGCAGTCAAAGTAGGTCAAGCTCCCCTGGCTAGCAGTTAGGAGAGGTCAAAAGACAAAAGGAAAGGTCGGAAACGTAGTAAAAGTCCAACAATGCCCAAACTAACAGCTTTTGAAGGTAGCTCTACATCAATCTGGGAGGCCTTCGTTTTTCAGTTTGAGCGAATTGCTAAGCGGCGGGTTTGGAGTGATAGGAAGAGTTCAGATAGACTTATTGACTGTTTAAGTGGAAAAGCTCTGGAGTATGTCCGAGATCTCGATCTAGACTCTAGCTACAGAGAGCTTAAAAAAGAGCTGAGGCATTGATTTAGTAAGAAAGATGAGCCAGTCTCGGCCAGGCATAAGCTTCAGTTCTTATGCCAGCAAGAGGGAGAATCCCTTGAGGAATTTTCACAGCATGTGTATTTCTTAGCTATGGATGGATATAGGAAGTCAGATAGAGAAACAATAGATCTCTGTCTACAGAGGCTTTACTCTGCGGCTGCAAGGAAAAGGAGGCTGCAAGGTTAGCAATGGAAAAGGGCCCAACTTCAATTCATAAGACTCTGAAATATGTAAAGGCATTGATAGCCAACCATCGGTCGATATTCGGTTCATCAAAATCAGCTTCTCACTCCCAACGACATGTAGCTTTTTCAGATGACGTTCGAAGCAACACTTCTGTTCCGAGGCGGAAGACATCTCTTCCACTCGGAAACGTAACCTAAAGATAATAGAAGACCTTGAACAGCTTACCCAGCAAGTAGCTAACCTCAGTAAGATTTTTCAGAATACCCCAGATGAGAAACGAAACACATCCTTGTGGAGACGTGGAAGGTCATCGACGCCACTACCAAGGAATAGGGAAAGACAACATTCAAGGTCCCCTTCACCATTTAGATCCAGCCAGATTGACCGACAACAGATGGCTGGAAAGGATTTAAACTCCAAAGGGCTAGGCCGCATGGCCAAGGACTAGTCCAAGAGCAAAATGGGCCACAAAACACTTCACCTGAGAAGCTTGAAACACATATGGTTTGCCTATCTGCGGGATCCAGTTTGGTTATCCCAATTACTATCAGTGGTGTTACCATTCCTGCTATTGTAAATACTGGTGCCATGGTTACTTTAATTAATCAAGACCTCATTGTGAATGTTTTCAAAGAGGACACACCGTACAAATTAATATGCTTAGAAGGACTTGGAGAACAGGAATTTGAAGGACATGTGTACCTGGGTAAAGAGGCACAAATCGGATCCCGATTCTACAACATCGAGTTCTGTTCTGTGCCTATGCGAGATCGGGTAATTCTAGGTCAAGATTTCCTGAAGAAGAACAAGTATCAGATCGACCTGGACCGTGATGCGATCATCATAAACAAAGAAATGATTAAAGGCTCTATGCAGAAGTCTGAGAATAGCGGCCAAATTCGTATGTCATTGTTGAGAAGAAGTTACGGATACCACCAGGGTCAGTGTCATACGTCAATGTTGCCTTGGAGGACCCAGTTCCTGGAAACTTTATTGTGGAGCCAATGCCAATAGACCAGTTAGCGTTGTCGGCAGTTATTGGTGAGGGACAGAGTTTGGTCATAAAAGCTGTTAATCTATCTCAGTCTTTCATCAAGTTGAAGTCTGGTCAGAAAATAGGTTCAGCAAAAGAAGTTGAAGGAATATTTGATAGCAATTCAGGAGGCAGTACCTCAAAGACAAGCCTCGTAAGGAATGTTACTTCTGACTCTGACAGTCCTTCTCGATTGCCAGAACACCTCAATGACTTATACGAATGTTCTGCACAGTTCAGTGTGAAGCTTTAAAAGGGCTTCTCATCAAGTATAGCCATGTTTTCGCAAAGCATGACCTAGACCTTGGTTGCCTTAAGGGGGTGACACACAAAATACACACTGCCCAGTTAAGCATAAATTAAGGACCCCTCTGGTGTACCAAGAACAAGAGGAGCAACACCTTTCAAAATTGATGAAAGCCGGAGTGATCACACACTCAACATCAGAATGGGCATCTGCACCTGTATTGATCAAGAAGAAAGATGAAAGTGTCTGTTACTGCACTGATTACAAAGCACTGAACACCAAGATACAGAAGGACAGTTTTCCTCTGCCCAATATCGGCGATTGTCTTGATCCTTTTTTTTTTCTCTCTCAGGGCTCTCAATCTGCCAGATTTGGGACCGATATTCCCAATGCAAAATAGTATCTTTTTTTCCCAATTTGGACCCCAAGTTTTCCCAATTCTAAGGAAAACGCCACAATTTTTCCCAATTCTAAGGGCCCCAGGCCCCAGTCCCAAAATGGGGTGTGAGAGCCCTGTCCCTACCCTTGATTTGGCATCTGGCTATTACCAAGTAGAGCTTGATGAAAAGGATCGTCACAAAACTGCATTCCTGACAAAATACAGCTTGGTCGAGCACACACGGATGGGCTTTGGTATATGCAATGCTCCCGCCACCTTCCAGAGGGCTATGAAGCTGGTGTTTGGCGGTATGACTTGGCAGGAGGTACTGGTGTACTTGGATAACATTATTGTCTTGGGCAAGAATTTTGAGGATGCCTTAGCCAGCCTTAAGAAGACACCGCAGAGATTTTGGGACAACAACCTCAAACTTAAACCGAAAAAATTATCTACTGCTCCACAGGGAAGTTGAGTTTCTCGGCAAAACGGTAAGCCAACATGGAGTGTCGGTTTCACCCGACAAGTTGAGCACCGTAAAGGATTGGCCCCTACAAACAGACAAAACCCAGCTGATGTCATTCCTAGGATTTGTGAATTATCATCATGATCACATCTATCATTTTGCTGAGCTGACGTCTATTCTGTATGCCTTGGTTTCCAAGAAGGATAAGTTCATTTGGACGGACATACACACATCATCCTTTGAATGCATTAAAGAAGCCCTTTTGTCAGCTCCTTGCCTGGTGTTCCCATCCACCGTAGACAGCTTTATCTTGGACACGGACGCATCTGATGTCACAATCGGAGCTGAACTTTTACAAGTACAAAATGGCCAGGAACGAGTGATCAGTAACGCCAGTCATACACTCACAAAACCTCAAGGGAAGTACTGTACAACACGAAAGGAGCTTTTGGCAGTTGTGAAATTTTGTAGACACTTCCGCCTAAACTTGTTGGGATGGAAATTCATCATTAGAACCGACCACAACAGTTTAGTGTGGCTCACCAGATTTAAACAAGTGGAAGGTCAGCTAGCAAGGTGGCTTGAAGAACTGTCCAACTACGATATGGTCATTGTCCATTGTAAGGAAGACATCACAATAATGCAGATGGTATATCTAGAATCACAGATGTTCGACCCCCTTGTGACAACTATACTTCAGGTCAAGACCCTGTAAGCCTGCCTTGTGGTGGATGTCATTACTGTAAGAGCCCACTCTCAGTGGTCACGGTTCGAAAATGATGTCGATGACATAACATCTCTATCATGCCCTGGTCAACTGTCAGTCATTGACACTTTGGAAGTGAGGTATGTTTCTAAACAAAACGACCAGCAAGATGTGACTTGCAACTGGATGGATGGATTAACCAAATGTGAGCTTACACTTAAGCAGCAGGATGACACAGACTTGCACACCATCACCCGTCTTTTAGAGAAAAAGGAACTTCCATCAAAAATAGAGCTGAGGATGCTAAGTCCAGCATGCAGGCATTTTTCGGTTATGTCTATTCAGAGATGAGGTGCTGTACTATCAGTGGGAAAACAAGATGGATAAGACTGCATGCCTAGACATTCCCCTCAGCCGACAGGCTGACGTCTTGTCGTATTGCCATGACACCAAATCTTCTGGACACTTTAGTAGGGACAAGACTCTGTTGCAGGCCAAACAGTCTTTTACTGATATGGCATGTCCTGAAACTGTGAGGATTATGTGAGAAGTTGCCCAGTTTGCAACAAGAATCCGACTTTGCGTCCAAGAGTGCCACTACAAACATTTGACACTGGTTTTCCCCTTGAATGGGTACACTTAGACATTCTTGGGCCTTTTTAGAGGAGTGAAGCAGGAAACATTTATATCCTCGTCATGGTGGACCAGTCTACCAAATGGGTTGAATTGGAAGGTCATTGTCCATATTGTTGCTACATTTGGTTGTCACAGATCAGGGGAAGAACTTTGACGGTCACCTGTTCAAAGCTGTATGTGATGTTCTGCAAATAACTAAGAAGAGGACCACTGCATACCATCCTACATCTAATGGGCAGGTTGAATGTTACAACCACACCCTGCTTCAGATGATCCGTTGTTTCATTGAAGATCAGAAAATAAGTGGGATCGAGATCTACCTCTTCTTGCTATGGCTTTGAACTCCTCTGTGAACTGACAAACGAGACTGACAACTTTGCCAGGAAGAACCTTGGCCAATCACTTGAGCGCCAAAAACGCCTCTATGATTTTCGTCAGGAGGAATCACATTTCAATATCGGGGATTATGTGTACAAACTGAACTCTGCAAAGAAAGTTGGCCAAGTCCCAAGCTGCAATCCCTTTGGGAGTGGCCTTACTTGGTCAGCGATTGTAAACCTCCATTGTATGCTATCCAGGATCGCAAGAAAATTAGTGTGACCCTTCACGACCATTTGAAACTTTGTGAGGACCGGTCATTTCCTGTGTGGCTCCAAAGACTGCGAGAAAGAGTTTTGGTGGACAAATACTCCTTGAGTCGCCTAGATGAGACAGATTTGGATGAGGACACACAGATCTTGATAGACAGGAAGTCCTCACAACACCATCTCAGATCGATATAACTGAACACGGAGACAAAACTGCAGCTTGCAAAATGAGAGCAGGAAGATCAATAATCCTTCCTGCAAAATTGAAGGATTTCTGTACAAGTTGACCTGCACAGTTTTCTGTTGTGCTTGGTTATGCTTTATTGCGTTATAACCTGCTCTAATAGACTGCTCCAAGATTATTTTCACTGTGTACCTTGCCTTTCTATGACAATGAGCGTACACACCTTCCATAGAAGAAATGGTAAGGTGTATATGTAAAGGCGAAACCATCACACTGGATAGTTGTGATGTTGTAGTGTGATTTGTTTTAGTATTGCACTCAACATTCCATGTATTTTCAGTTAACATGGATTCTGATTGCAACAAGGCCAAATTAGTTCCTGACTACAGCTCATCGGCTGAGAGTGACAGCTGCTCAGAGATGTCATCAGGTCTAGTAGTGGTTGACGAATACCAGTCCGAAAGCGAGGCGCATGATTCCCGAATGATTCTTGACAAAGGGATCATCTCTGGCTCATCGGCAGTTCACACTTCCAATGGACCAAGAGCAAGGGAGAGGATTTGTCCATTGTGTGCATTTAAGCCAAAGATACTGAAAAGGCATGTGATTAAGATGCACCTACCCTGGTATTTTGCTGTGAATACCTCATGCTGGGATTGTCAGGAGCAAGTCACCACGACAAGTCGTCTTAATTCACACACCAGCTGCGATTGGACACCCTTAAACGAGGTCAATATTTGGAAGTGGTGCTGTTACGTCACTGGACTTCTTCACTTCTTATAAGAAACCCACAATCTTGGTGACTTGGATGAATTGTTATCATATGTCGTTGCGAATGGTTTGCATCCAAACTTTGGCAAGGATGACCAACACTTTTCAGCTCCTGAGGGAAAATTGATGGAACACTTTGTGTCGCGTTTCCTTGCGGAGGTATTGCCTCCTGAATTCATAGTCAGCCCACTGAATCATATTATTTGTCTTGTTCACTGGTGGATTTTCACCAACCTTTTGGAACCTCTAAGTGCTGCCTATCGTGAAGAGTTTCATTTTAAGTAAAATGGAGATGTTAGTGTCTAGTGTGGCACTAAGGGGATCTGACATCCTGGATGTCCCTAAGAGCATGGTTCTGAAATTTACTGATTCAAATTTCCACCTTGACCAGCTGTTGAAAAGGTCAAGAAAAGAAAGTCTGGCTGAATTAGAGGAGTCATGTTATGTTGGGAGAAACAGGGAGTTGTGCAGTGGCAAATTACGTCTTCCCGAAAAGTTGGGACATGTGGACTCAGCAAAATGATCCCAGGATTCATGTGTCATTCGGTATACATCCCCATTTTGTGGAAAAGAATGGCCGCAGTTGTTCCCCCAAGTTGGTCTTGTTATTGAAAGCTCCCTTAGCTTGTGTCATTGGTGAGGTTGGTATAGATCCGACTAGCAAATGCATCAGGCATATCAAGTGTGTAATCCCTGCATCCTGTCGATGATACTCGACAGCTCTTCAACAGGAGTTCTTAAGGGAGTGCCTTATCTATGACGAATGGATGGACATGACAGTGATTGTACATTGCCGTGACAAAGGATCCGGGGAATCCAGCCAATGTGTTTTGTCTCTTGTGAGAGAAATGAACCTTGCCCATCTCCAAATACATCAGCATTGCTTTACCGGAGGATTAGAGGAACTGCAAAAATGGATGGCTTGTCTACCAAATGTGTACTTTGGATTCTCTGGGCTAATACGCGATGAACCCATTCGACTATCCGCTGCCAAAGTTCCTATGGATAAACTGCTACTTGAAAGTGATTCCCCATACCTTCCGTGTAAGCCACACCATCTCAGTACGCCTTGGGTAGTTTTGAGGTAGCAGGTGTGATGGCAGGAGCAAGAGGAATGTATATTCAGGATGTCCTGGAGTCTGCTTCTCAGAACTTGAGGCGTATCTACAGACTTTAACTGCCATCATGGTTCAGGGATGATGTCAACTTGGAAGACATCAGAGCTTATATATAGGAACTGTCGAAGTGCATGTGAACTGTGCTAAATATGTTTTAAGTAATGTGTTTTATTCTAGTTGTTTTTTCGCGGATACGCATCTTTCTCATAGGTAAGGTAGGGATGTGGTAGGAACTGCCCTACTCGGACCTTGTCGGTTGTTGTTGTATTGTGTTGTACTAGATATTGATTGTAAATTGTATTACGTAATCTGTCTCTTTGAACTTCCGGTCTAGTAAAAAGCTGCTGCAGTGGTCACCACGACCATAATATACATCTCTGTTATTGGTACTTAGTTCCACAGGGTTATGTTACAAGGAGAATTCTGATATCAACAAAAAAATTTTTTCTCTAAGTGGGTGAATTCTTGATGACAATTTGTATTTATTTCTGTTATGCGTCCTGGTTTCTCTCTATTTCCAGTGACACAAGTTAGCAGCGTTACACTGACATTCTCCAAGACTGATCTAACGCTGATTATTCCCGAAACGAAAAGTTTGTGGCTTGTACCAAGGTAAGCAGAGGAGATATAGATTTTTTTATTTGATGATATCTAGGTTTAAAATCTTTTCTATTTTAATGTAGATAGGGTTGATTAAATTTTGTTTTGTTAGCAGTACTGACTGCAATGTACAAGCGTACATTGAATCTTGTTCTATAAGATATATACCGTTACTTAATGTTAATTACATGGGAATTTCTTTCAGTGGACCATTGAAGGAGACAGCAGTAGTGCTATTTACATATGAGATAGGAGATGACATTAAATACACAGAGGACCATGATTTACTTCATATTCTGCCCAACGTCACCATTGCAGCCAACAGTAGCCTGACAGTGAAGATCAATTTTACTGCAGATCATGCTGGCAGTATTAATGTCGGAGTGAACTCTTCATCACTGGAGCTGACAGGGTAAATTACTAAAGAATATCACATCATTCTCCCTAGACACATCTGTCATCTTACTACCTCCTTAGACATACCTGTCAACTCTCCCTATACACACCTGTCAGCCCTCCCTATACATTCCAGTCAACCCTCCCTATACACACCTGTCAACCCTCCCTATACACACCTGTCAACCCTCCCTGTACACACCTGTCAACCCTCCATGTACACACCTGTCAACCCTCCCTATACACACCTGTCAACCCTCCCTATACACACCTGTCAACCCTCTCTACACACATCAGTCAACCCTCCCTATACACACCTGTCAACCCTCCCTGTACACACAAGTCAACCCTCCCTGTACACACCTGTCAACCCTCCCTATATACACCTGTCAACCCTCCCTGTACACACCTGTCAACCCTCCATATACACACCTGTCAACCCTCCCTGTACACACCTGTCAACCCTCCCTGTACACACCTGTCAACCCTCCTTGCCTTTCAACCTCCCAAGACACAACTGTCAAATCTCAAACCATTAACTCTCTCTGGATAGTCCTATCAATTCTACCTGTAAACCCTCCCTAGACGCAATTGTCAACCCTCCTTAGACACACTTGTCAACCCTCCCTAAACACACTTGTAAACCCTCCCTATACACACTTGCTAACCCTCCCTAGACACACTTGCTAACCCTCCCTAGACACACTTGCTAACCCTCCCTATACACACTTGCTAACCCTCCCTAGACACATATGTCAACTCACTACCTCCCTAGGAATACCTTTCAACTCGCTAACTTTCAACCTACTAAAGTATATCTGTTAACCCTTCCCAGACACATGGGTCAACTCACTACCTCTCTAGGAATACCTTTCAACTCGCTAACTTTCAACCTACTAAAGTATATCTGTTAACCCTTCCCAGACACATGGGTCAACTCACTACCTCTCTAGGAATACCTTTCAACTCGCTAACTTTCAACCTACTAAAGTATATCTGTTAACCCTTCCCAGACACATGGGTCAACTCACTACCTCTCTAGGCATACCTGTCAACTGTCTACCCATCAACCCTCTTAGACACACATATCAACTCCAGTTTCCTCCCACAATAAGACCCATCACGCACTTGCATCCAGGTCAACAAGAATTGTTAGTATAGATTGAAATAACTTGCTTCGCAATTGTTGTAAAATAAATATAAGTTTATATCTTTATAAAATATTACACGTTTAGAAAAGAGAGAAACTCTCAGTAACATGGGTGTAATGGCCAGGACAGGCCAATATTATACAGATAGAAATGACACAAACACCCATTAACATGAGTGTAATGGCCAAGACAGACTAATATTATACAGGTAGAAATGAGAGAAACACCCAGTAACATGGGTGTAATGCCAGGACAGATCAATATTATACAGGTAGAAATGAGAGAGAAACAATCCGTAGCATGGGTGTAATGGCCTGCACAGACCAATATTATAGAGATAGAAATGAGAGAAACATTCAGTAACATCAGTGTAATGACCAGGACAGACCAATATTATACAGGTAGAAATGAGAAAACACCCAGTAACATGGGTGTAATGGCCTGGAAAGACCAATATTATACAGGTAGAAATGAGAGAGAAACACCCAGTAACATGGGTGTAATGGCCTGGACAGACCAATATTATACAGGTAGAAATGAGAGAGAAACACCCAGTAACATGGGTGTAATGGCCTGGACAGACCAATATTATAGAGGTAGAAATGAGAGAAACACCCAGTAACATGGGTGTAATGGCCAGGACAGATCAATATTATACAGGTAGAGATGAGAGAGAAACACTCCGTAACTTGGGTGTAATGGCCTGGACAGACTAATATTATACAGGTAGAAATGAGAGAGAAACACCCAGTAACATGGGTGTAATAACCAGGACAGATCAATATTATACAGGTAGAAATGAGAGAGAAACACTCAGTCATATCAGTGTAATGGCCTGGAAAGACCAATATTATAGAGATAGAAATGAGAGAAACACTCAATAACATGAGTGTAATGACCAGGACAGACCAATATTATACAGGTAGAAATGAGAGAGAAACAACCAGTAACATGGGTGTAATGGCCTGGACTGACCAGTATTATAGAGGTAGAAATGAGAGAGAAACACCCAGTAACATGGGTGTAATGGCCAGGACAGATCAATGTTATACATTTAGAAATGAAAAAAAACACCCAGTAACATGGGTGTAATGGCCTGGACAGACCAATATTATAGAGATAGAAATGAGAGAAACACTCAGTAACATGAGTGTAATGACCAGGACAGACCAATATTATAGAGATAGAAATGAGAGAAACACTCAGTAACATGAGTGTAATGACCAGGACAGACCGATACTATACAGGTAGAAATGAGAGAGAAACACCCAGTAACATGGGTGTAATGGCCTGGACAGATCAATATTATACAGGTAGAAATGAGAAAACTCCCAGTAACATGGATGTAATGGCCAGGACAGTCATTATTAAAGAGATAGAAATGAGAGAAACAGTATTTGATGTTTGATATATATACAATTGTGGGAATGAAAGCATGTATTATAACTTTGGTAATGCTTTTAACAAACCTGAATTTTAGAATATTCTATCTTCACAGCTTGGAGAGTTCCTTTGTAAGGCTGAGTATCTTCCATAGTTCTGCCATAGTTTACATCAATATAGTGATTGGTTGGATCTACTTTGCTGCTTGGTCTGTGTCATTTTATCCACAAGTTTATGAAAACTGGAAGCGTAAAAGGTGTGTAAACTAATGGAGTAACACTACAGGTAAAAGGTGTGTAAACTAATGGAGTAACACTGAAGGTAAAAGGTGTGTTAACTAATGGAGTAACACTACAGGTAAAAAGTGTGTAAACTAATGGATTAACACTGAAGGTAAAAGGTGTGTAAACTAATGGAGTAACACTGAAGGTAAAAGGTGTGTAAACTAATAGAGTAACACTACAGGTAACAGGTGTATAAACTAATGGAGTAACACTGAAGGTAAAAGTGTGTAAACTAATGGAGTAACACTGAAGGTAAAAGGTGTGTAAACTAATGGAGTAACACTGAAGGTAAAAGGTGTGTAAACTAATGGAGTAACACTGAAGGTAAAAGGTGTGTAAACTAATGGAGTAACACTACAGGTAAAAGGTGTGTAAACTAATGGAGTAACACTGAAGGTAAAAGGTGTGTAAACTAATGGAGTAACACTGAAGGTAAAAGGTGTGTAAACTAATGGAGTAACACTGAAGGTAAAAGGTGTGTAAACTAATGGAGTAACACTGAAGGTAAAAGGTGTGTAAACTAATGGAGTAACACTGAAGGTAAAAGGTGTGTAAACTAATGGAGTAACACTGAAGGTAAAAGGTGTGTAAACTAACGAAGTAACACTGATGGTAAAAGGTGCGAAACTCATGGAGTAACACTGAAGGTAAAAGGTGTGTAAACTAATGGAGTAACACTACAGGTAAAAGGTGTATAAACTAATGGAGTAACACTACAGGTAAAAAGTGTGTAAACTAATGGAGTAACACTGAAGGTAAAAGGTGTGTAAACTGATGGAGTAACACTGAAGGTAAAAGGTGTGTAAACTAATGGAGTAACACTGAAGGTAAAAGGTGTGTAAACTAATGGAGTAACACTGAAGGTAAAAGGTGTGTAAACTAATGGAGTAACACTACAGGTAAAAGGCTGTAAACTGTGTAAACTAATAACACTGAAGGGTGTGTAACTAATGGAGTAACACACTGAAGGTAAAAGGTGTGTAAACTAATGGAGTAACACTGAAGGTAAAAGGTGTGTAAACTGAAGGTAAAAGGTGTGTAAACTAATGGAGTAACACTGAAGGTAAAAGGTGTGTAAACTAATGGAGTAACACTGAAGGTAAAAGGTGTGTAAACTAATGGAGTAACACTGAAGGTAAAAGGTGTGTAAACTAATGGAGTAACACTGAAGGTAAAAGGTGTGTAAACTAATGGAGTAACACTGAAGGTAAAAGGTGTGTAAACTAATGGAGTAACACTGAAGGTAAAAGGTGTGTAAACTAATGGAGTAACACTACAGTTAAAAGGTGTGTAAACTAATGGAGTAACACTGAAGGTAAAAGGTGTGTAAACTAATGGAGTAACACTGAAGGTAAAAGGTGTGTAAACTAATGGAGTAACACTGAAGGTAAAAGGTGTGTAAACTAATGGAGTAACACTACAGGTAAAAGGTGTGTAAACTAATGGAGTAACACTGAAGGTAAAAGTGTGTAAACTAATGGAGTAACACTGAAGGTAAAAGGTGTGTAAAATAATGGAGTAACACTGAAGGTAAAAGGTGTGTAAACTAATGGAGTAACACTGAAGGTAAAAGGTGTGTAAACTAATGGAGTAACACTGAAGGTAAAAGGTGTGTAAACTAATGGAGTAACACTGAAGGTAAAAGGTGTGTAAACTAATGGAGTAACACTGAAGGTAAAAGGTGTGTAAACTAATGGAGTAACACTGACAGGTAAAATGGTGTGTGTGTAAACTAATGGAGTAACACTACAGAAGGTAAAAGGTGTGTAAACTAATGGAGTAACACTGAAGGTAAAAGGTGTGTAAACTAATGGAGTAACACTACAGGTAAAAGGTGTGTAAACTAATGGAGTAACACTGAAGGTAAAAGGTGTGTAAACTAATGGAGTAACACTACAGGTAAAATGTGTGTAAACTAATGGAGTAACACTGAAGGTAAAAGGTGTGTAAACTAATGGAGTAACACTACAGGTAAAAGGTGTGTAAACTAATAGAGTAACACTACAGGTAAAAGGTGTGTAAACTAATGAAGTGATTTGTTTGGTCTGTTTCAGTGTGATTTGTTTGGTCTGTTTCAGTGTGATTTGGTTGATCTGAGTGATTTGTTTGATCAGTGATTTGTTTGGTCTGTTTCAGTGTGATGTGTTTGATCTGAGTGATTTGTTTGATCTGAGTGATTTGTTTGGTCTGTTCCAGTGTGATTGGTTTGATCTAAAAGGTGTGTAGTGATTTGTTTGATCTGTTGTGTAAACAGTGTGATTTGTTTGATCTGTGTGATTTGTTTGGTCTGTTTCAGTGTGATTTGTTTGATATGTTTCAGTGTGATTGGTTTGATCTGAGTGATTTGTTTGGTCTGTTTCAGTGTGATTTGTTTGATCTGTGTGATTTGTTTGATCTGTTTCAGTGTGATTGGTTTGATCTGAGTGATTTGTTTGATCTGTTTCAGTGTGATTTGTTTGATCTGTGTGATTTGTTTGGTCTGTTTCAGTGTGATTTGTTTGATCTGAGTGATTTGTTTGATCTGAGTGATTTGTTTGGTCTGTTCCAGTGTGATTGGTTTGATCTGAGTGATTTGTTTGATCTGTTTCAGTGTGATTTGTTTGATCTGTGTGATTTGTTTGGTCTGTTTCAGTGTGATTTGTTTGATCTGTTTCAGTGTGATTTGTTTGATCTGTGTGATTTGTTTGGTCTGTTCCAGTGTGATTGGTTTGATCTGAGTGATTTGTTTGATCTGTTTCAGTGTGATTTGTTTGATCTGTGTGATTTGTTTGGTCTGTTTCAGTGTGATTTGTTTGATATGTTTCAGTGTGATTTGTTTGATCTGAGTGATTTGTTTGATCTGAGTGATTTGTTTGATCTGAGTGATTTGTTTGATCTGAGTGATTTGTTTGATCAGTGATTTGTTTGATCAGTGATTTGTTTGGTCTGTTTCAGTGTGATTTGTTTGATCTGAGTGATTTGTTTGGTCTGTTTCAGTGTGATTTGTTTGATCTATTTCAGTGTGATTGGTTTGATCTGAGTGATTTATTTGATCTGAATGATTTGTTTGATCTGTTTCAGTGTGATTTGTTTGATCTATTTCAGTGTGATTGGTTTGATCTGAGTGATTTGTTTGATCTGAATGATTTGTTTGATCTGTTTCAGTGTGATTTGTTTGATCTATTTCAGTGTGATTGGTTTGATCTGAGTGATTTGTTTGATCTGAGTGATTTGTTTGATCAGTGATTTGTTTGGTCTGTTTCAGTGTGATTTGTTTGATCTGAGTGATTTGTTTGGTCTGTTTCATCTGTTTCAGTGTGATTTGTTTGATCTATTTCAGTGTGATTGGTTTGATCTGAGTGATTTGTTTGATCTGAATGATTTGTTTGATCTGTTTCAGTGTGATTTGTTTGATCTATTTCAGTGTGATTGGTTTGATCTGAGTGATTTGTTTGATCTGAATGATTTGTTTGATCTGTTTCAGTGTGATTTGTTTGATCTATTTCAGTGTGATTGGTTTGATCTGAGTGATTTGTTTGATCTGAATGATTTGTTTGATCTGTTTCAGTGTGATTGGTTTGATATGTTTCAGTGTGATTGGTTTGATCTGAGTGATTTGTTTGATCTGAGTGATTTGTTTGATCTGAGTGATTTGTTTGATCTGTTTCAGTGTGATTTGTTTGATCTGTGTGATTTGTTTGATTTGTTTGTTTGTCTGTTTCAGTGTGATTTTTGATGTGATTTGTTTGATCTGAGTGATTTGTTTGATCTGAGTGATTTGTTTGATCTGAGTGATTTGTTTGATCTGTTTCAGTGTGATTTGTTTGATCTGAGTGATTTGTTTGATCTGTTTCAGTGTGATTGGTTTGATCTGTGTGATTTGTTTGGTCTGTTTCAGTGTGATTTGTTTGATCTGAGTGATTTGTTTGATCTGAGTGATTTGTTTGATCTGAGTGATTTGTTTGATCTGTTTCAGTGTGATTTGTTTGATCTGTGTGATTTGTTTGGTCTGTTCCAGTGTGATTGGTTTGATCTGAGTGATTTGTTTGATCTGAGTGATTTGTTTGATCTGAGTGATTTGTTTGATCTGAGTGATTTGTTTGATCTGTTTCAGTGTGATTTGTTTGATATGTTTCAGTGTGATTGGTTTGATCTGAGTGATTTGTTTGATCTGAGTGATTTGTTTGATCTGAGTGATTTGTTTGGTCTGAATGATTTGTTTGGTCTGTTTCAGTGTGATTTGTTTGATCTGAGTGATTTGTTTGATCTGAGTGATTTGTTTGATCTGAATGATTTGTTTGATCTGAGTGATTTGTTTGGTCTGTTTCAGTGTGATTTGTTTGATCTATTTCAGTGTGATTGGTTTGATCTGAGTGATTTGTTTGGTCTGTTTCAGTGTGATTTGTTTGATCTGAGTGATTTGTTTGATCTGAGTGATTTGTTTGATCTGAATGATTTGTTTGATCTGAGTGATTTGTTTGGTCTGTTTCAGTGTGATTTGTTTGATCTATTTCAGTGTGATTGGTTTGATCTGAGTGATTTGTTTGGTCTGAATGATTTGTTTGATCTGAGTGATTTGTTTGATCTGTTTCAGTGTGATTTGTTTGATCTATTTCAGTGTGATTGGTTTGATCTGAATGATTTGTTTGATCTGAGTGATTTGTTTGGTCTGTTTCAGTGTGATTTGTTTGATCTATTTCAGTGTGATTTGTTTGATCTGAATGATTTGTTTGATATGAGTGATTTGTTTGGTCTGTTTCAGTGTGATTTGTTTGATCTATTTCAGTGTGATTGGTTTGATCTGAGTGATTTGATTGGTCTGAATGATTTGTTTGATCTGAGTGATTTGTTTGATCTGTTTCAGTGTGATTTGTTTGATCTATTTCAGTGTGATTGGTTTGATCTGAATGATTTGTTTGATCTGAGTGATTTGTTTGATCTGTTTCAGTGTGATTTGTTTGATCTATTTCAGTGTGATTGGTTTGATCTGAATGATTTGTTTGATCTGAGTGATTTGTTTGGTTTGTTTCAGTGTGATTTGTTTGATCTATTTCAGTGTGATTGGTTTGATCTGAGTGATTTGTTTGATCTGAATGATTTGTTTGATCTGTTTCAGTGTGATTTGTTTGATCTATTTCAGTGTGATTGGTTTGATCTGAGTGATTTGTTTGATCTGAATGATTTGTTTGATCTGTTTCAGTGTGATTGGTTTGATATGTTTCAGTGTGATTGGTTTGATCTGAATGATTTGTTTGATCTGAGTGATTTGTTTGGTCTGTTTCAGTGTGATTTGTTTGATCTGTTTCAGTGTGATTTGTTTGATCTATTTCAGTGTGATTGGTCTGAACTTTGATTTCCTTGCCTATAACATCACAGGTTTTATAGCCTACAGCTTCTTCAATGTTGGACTGTTCTGGTTCAAAAGTATTCAGGTAATACACGAAGAATTAACCATAGCTTTAGAATATGTTTATGTAACCAGATGTGATAATGGAAACAGCAATCTGCTCTGGGTTTTCATATGTTGAATTAAGATCAACACTTGACTATAACTTGATATGAAATATACAGTATTGTGGGTCACACACACAATGAACATTAAAAACTGCATTTCCTATTGTAGATATTACAAAAGACAAAATTACGTTTAAGATATCTAACCAGGAATGATGAATCAAAACTGCTTACAGATATGTAGAAGATGATAACTACTGTCTGATGTCATGCCCAGAATGATATCGGGAAGGATTGTGAAGGGCAGGGTATAGATAGGTGTTTAGTATGTGCACACATTCTTACTCACTCAACCAGAGGTTTACCTGACAAGTACCCTGAGTACCACTGTGTTCATCATATTGTCTATACACATATGTAGTATACACACTACCTATATGTACATATATACATACAGTGGGCTTCATTTACATTTCTCCTTAGAAAATTTTTGATGATGATGTAAGGAATTATGGTAGTAAATATGTAGAACTACTATTGATTATTGACACATTTGACCTAAATATTCAATGGAATGACATAAATATATTTTTTTTTTCGGTATATATTGTAACTTATGATTGTAATATGATGATCTCTGTCTTTTATTTTAGGATGATTATAAGAGTTCACATCCAAGGGGGATAAATCCTGTTCAACTGAATGATGTGATTTTTGCTCTCCATGCAGTCTTTGTCACCATCATCACCATCTGTCAGTGCTGTATGTATGAGGTAAACAGAACCATCCTGTAGCCCATGTTTAAACATGTTTTAATGGAGATGTAATGATGAGTCTGTCATTCAGTTTTTATGTCCCCCAAACAAAGTGGGGGGACATATTGTGTTTGCTCCGTTTCTTCTTCTTATTATTATTATTATTATTTTTATTATTACCGGTATTTATATTATTCTTATTTCTTCCACTTTCTTCCGCCAGCGAGGTTTCTGACGCGTTTCTCAAAAACTATTGCATGGAATTTAGCAAAACTTTACACACATTCATACATGCGAGGCAGAGTTCAGGCCACTTGAATTTTTCCAATCGTTCATCTGAGCGGTCAGCTGTGGTCAAAATTTGACCAAATTTTAGATATTGTCTGATTTTCGTGAAAATTGGTATAGATGTATTAGGTGGTACTATAGGAGCAAAATGGCGTAGTCCATTTTTCATTCGGCCATCAAAGTGGTCAGCTTTGGTCAAAATTTGGCCAAATTTTAGATATTGTCTGATTTTCATGAAAATTTGTATATATGTATTAGGTGGCACTAGGAGAAAAATGGCGAAGTCCATGTTTGGCATGACTGCAGGTCTGATTATTGTGATCATTTACTGCTGAAGGGGTCGTTTGTTGGACATTTGTAATGGTCCCCATTACAATTAGTACTTGTTATATCTCAAATAACAGGTATTCTCATTTCAAGGAATGACATCTGCCTATATAAGTTGTAGCCCTGCCTCAGTTTGAGGAGCTTAAAGAAAGGTTAGGTCTTAGTAGAGAAAATACATGCAAATTTATATCAACTGGTTCTTGTTGGCTGTATCACTTTGAACTTCGTAGAACTTTAATGTGATTTGCTTAGAGTAAGCATTCAGGGACCAATCAGACTTATAGAGGTAAATGTTTAGAAAACTACTTCAGTAGAAGTGATGATAGCTAAGGTTATTTTAACACACTAAGTAGTATTTGGCTTTAGCAGAAATCTGAACATTTACTTAAAGGTCTCAAGTAGTTACACCTCTTGTCTAGTTCAGATGTTAAAAATGTTTTTAAAAAAAAGCTGAACAATGCCTATGTGATTCTTTTATCTATATAAATTTGATGTATCATCAGTAAGAATTACAATTGATCAGTATTGTGATGTTATTGAACAGGAAGATTTCATGCCAAGATAGATACATTGTTTTAGAAACTTTTGAGTCATATTTGTCACGAAAAGTTTTGATAATGTGAGGCTTTATAGAAATATTCACTCACATGGTATATATCAACATGTGTAAGGCTACAGTAACAAATGTTTTTACAGCGTGGTGGACAGAGAATCTCCAAGATTTCTTGTATTCTGCTGGTTCTGGCCTGGCTGTTTATTCTTGTAACATTATTCCTGGCGGTGGGCAAAGTCATCACCTGGCTCAGCTATCTCTACTGCTTCTCATATGTCAAACTTGGTGTGACCCTTATCAAGTATGTTCCTCAGGTACGTCTGATTATCAACCTTGTCATGCCATAGCGCGGCGTCCGTCTGACATCCGTCAACTTTTCATTTAAACAACTTCTTCTGAAATACCAAAAGGCTTAGAGTTATCATATTTGGCTGGAAGGTTCCTTTGATGAAGCCCAACAAAGTTTGCAAAAAGAAATGACATTGACCCATATTCAAGGTCACAGAGGTCAAATGTTTTAAAACCTTTAAACGACTTCTTCCAAAATACCGGAAGGTCTAGAATCATTATATATGGCTTGAAGGTTCCATTGATGAAGCCCAACAAAGTTTGCAAAAAGAATGACCTTGACCCATATTCAAGGTTACAGACGTCAAATGTGTTAAAACCTTTGAACGGCTTCTTTCTAAATACCAGAAGCCCTAGAATCATTATATTTGGATAGAAGGTTCCTTTGATGAAGCCCAACAAAGCTTGCAGAAAAAATGACCTTGACCCATATTCAAGGTTACAGGGGTCAAATATGTTAAACGTCGAACATATGCACAGATTTAGTAATGTAGGTCATAAAGATCCAGGTGAGTGACACAGGCCCTCTGGGCCTCTTGTTTTATCACCTGTCCTGTCTGGTGACTATTTAGGAACTATTGGTGTACATCTCACAGAAATATCTGTTTGTCAACTTGGTACTGGGGAACTATGGGTGAACATTCCTCAGGTAACTTTGCACTATCACCTGGCCTGGCAGATGACTAAGAAGGAACTATTGGTGTGAATATGTAGTGATACTATGTAACACTTTTAACTTTTTTCAGGCAAATATCAGAAATGTTATTATGAATTAAACTAAAATTCCAGAAGGACAAGTGAGCTTGAGCCATGATGCAGTATTAATTTTTTCATCTGATGTCCATCCCGTGTCTACTTTTTCCTTTCAACTCTTCCAAATTTAGTCAGTAACAAAGTAGGATGAAGCATTCTCAATATATTCAAACAAATTGCCTTTACTCTTGTTCAAAATCACAGAGTTTGAATGTGTCATTCTTCAAATATTTGTTTTGCTGAATTGAGAAGAGATTGCAGATAACTTGAAATCTTTCAAGAATTTACTTATCGATTGGTGTCATAAACAAGAAATACAATAATCAACCAGGAACAGAATTAAATTCATTCTGCCTGATGTTTCAAAAGATTATTACTAAATACTTTCATGATTATTTGGTTTTCAGGCATACATGAACTACAAAAGAAAAAGCACAGTGGGTTGGAGTATAGGGAATGTTTTACTGGACTTTACAGGAGGGAGTTTGAGTCTGCTACAGATGTTCTTGTTGGCTTACAACAGTGGTAAGTGTTAAGTGCTGCAGCCTCAATCTACAACTATGGGCAAAAATACCATCCACACACAGGTCATTCCATCCACACACAGGTCATTCCATCCACACGCAGGTCATTCCATCCACACGCAGGTCATTTCATCCACCCACAGGTCATGCCATCCACACACAGGTCATGCCATCCACACACAGGTCATTCTATTCACACACAGGTCATTCCATCCACACGCAGGTCATTCCATCCACACGCAGGTCATTCCATCCACACACAGATCATTCTATGCACACGCAGGTCATTCCATCCACACGCAGGTCATTCTCTCCACACACAGGTCATTCCATCCACACACAGGTCATTCTATCCACACACAGGTCATTCCATCCACACGCAGGTCATTCTATCCACACACAGGTCATACCATCCACACACAGGTCATTCTATTCACACACAGGTCATTCCATCCACACGCAGGTCATTCCATCCACACGCAGGTCATTCCATCCACACACAGGTCATTCTATGCACACACAGGTCATTCCATCCACACACAGGTCATTCTCTCCACACACAGGTCATTCCATCCACACACAGGTCATTCTATTCACACACAGGTCATTCCATCCACACGCAGGTCATTCCATCCACACACAGATCATTCTATGCACACGCAGGTCATTCCATCCACACGCAGGTCATTCCATCCACACACAGATCATTCTATGCACACACAGGTCATTCCATCCACACACAGGTCATTCTCTCCACACACAGGTCATTCCATCCACACACAGGTCATTCCATCCACCAAAGGTCATACCTTTCTCATAGAGACCATAACCAAACTCAGTGGTCATACCTTCCACATAGGCAATACCCACATGGACGTATATGAACTGTAGTGAGTATTGCTAATCAATATGTAAAAAAGACAAGTCACAAAAACATATTCAACTAATATAATCTATTACAATAATAACGAAAATATTAGGTTTAGTAATGCTTATAATAAATAGGTGTATATATCAAATGTCCTTTATCACAACCTTACTAAGGCCCTAGACCTACATACTTACCACTTTTTAACCTTACTAAGGCCCTAGACCTACATACTTACCACTATCAGAACCTTACTAAGGCCCCTAGACCTACATACTACCACTACAGAACCTTACTAAGGCCCCTAGACCTACATACTTACCAATGAACCTGGGCCCCTAACTAACATCAGCCCTAGACCTACATACTACTACCACTATCAGAACCTTACTAAGGCCTCTAGTCCTACATACTTACCATATCAGAACCTTACTAAGGCCTTTAGACCTACATACTTACCCTATTAGAACCTTACTAAGGCCCCTAGACCTACATACTACCACTATCAGAACCTTACTAAGGCCCCTAGACCTACATACTTACCCTATCAGAACCTTACTAAGGCCCCTAGACCTACATACTTACCATATCAGAACCTTACTAAGGCCCCTAGACCTACATACTTACCCTATCAGAACCTTACTAAGGCCCCTAGACCTACATACTTACCATATCAGAACCTTACTAAGGCACCTAGACCTACATACTTAACCAAACAGAACCTTACTAAGGCCCCTAGACCTACATACTTACCCTATCAGAACCTTACTAAGGTCCCTAGACCTACATACTACCACTACCTTACTAAGAACCTACCCTATCAGAACAGAGGCCTACATACTACCACTATCTAAGGCCCTAGAATACTACCTTACTAACATCCCTAGACCTACATACTACCACTACCAGAACCTTACTAAGGCCCTTTGACCTACATACTATCACTATCAGAACCTTACTAAGGCACCTAGACCTATATACTACCACTATCAGAACCTTACTAAGGCCCCTAGACCTACATACTTACCCTATCAGAACATTACTTAGGCCCCTAGACCTACATACTACCACTACTAAAACCTTACTAAGGCCCCTAGTCTTACATACTACCACTACCAGAACCTTACTAAGGCCCCTAGACCTACATACTTACCATATCAGAACCTAACTAAGGTCCCTAGACCTACATACTACCACTGCTAAAACCTTACTCAAGCCCCTAGGCCTACATACTACCAGAACCTAACTAAGGCCTTTAGTCATACATACTTACCCTATCAGAACCTTACTAAGGCACCTAGAACTACATACTACCACTACCAGAACCTTACTAAGGCCCCTAGACCTACATACATATCCTATCAGAACCTTACTAAGGCCCCTAGACCTACATACTACCACTACCTGAACCTAACTAAGGCCTCTAGTCCTACATACTCACCATATCAGAACCTTACTAAGGCCCTTTGACCTACATACTATCACTACCAGAACCTTACCAAGGCCCCTAGACCTACATACTTACCCTATCAGAACCTTACTAAGGCCCCTAGACCTACATACTAACCCTATCAGAACCTTACTAAGGCCCCTAGACCTACATACTACCACTACCCCTAGACCTACCTAGAACCTTACTAAGGCCTTACTAGCCTACACACACTTACCACTATAGAACCTTACTAAGGCCCTAGACCTACATACTACCACTACCCTACCTACTAACCCTAGAACCTTACTAAGGCCCCTAGACCTACATACTTACCCTATCAGAACCTTACTAAGGCCGATAGACCGACATACTTACCCTAACAGAACCTTACTAAGGCCCCTAGACCTACATACTACCACTACCAGAACCTTACTAAGGCCCCTAGACCTACATACTAACCATAACAGAACCTTACTAAGGCCCCTAGACCTACATACTACCACTACTAAACCTTACTAAGGCCCCTAGATCTACATACTACCACTAACAGAGCCTTACTAAGGCCCCTAGTCTTACATACTTACCAGAACCTTACTAAGGCCACTAGACCTACATACTACCACTACCTGAACCTAACTAAGGCCTCTAGTCCTACATACTACCACTACCAGAACCTTACTAAGGCCCCTAGACCTACATACTTACCCTACCAGAACCTTACTAAGGCCACTAGACCTACATACTACCACTACCTGAGAACATACTACCACTACCTTACTAAGGCCCCTAGACCTACATACTACCACTATCAGAACCTTACTAAGGCCCCTAGACCTACATACTACCACTACTAAAACCTTACTAAGGCCCCTAGTCGTACATCCTTACCCTATCAGAACCTTACTAAGGCCCCTAGTCGTACATCCTTACCCTATCAGAACCTTACTAAGGCCCCTATACCTACATACTTACCCTACCAGAACCTTACTAACATCCCTAGACTTACATACTACCACTACCAGAACCTTACTAAGGCCCCTAGACCTACATACTACCACTACCTGAACCTAACTAAGGCCTCTAGTCCTACATACTCACCCTATCAGAACCTTACTAAGGCCCCTAGACCTACATACTTACCATATCAGAACCTTATTAAGGCCCCAAGACCTACATACTTACCCTATCAGAACCTTACTAAGGCCCCTAGACCTACATACTTACCCTACCAGAACCTTACTAACATCCCTAGACCTACATACTACCACTACCAGAACCTTACTAAGGCCCCTAGACCTACATACTAACACTATCAGAACCTTACTAAGGCCCCTAGACCTACATACTACCACTACCAGAACTACTTACCTTAAAGGCCCCTAGACATACTACATACCTTACTACCCCTAGACCTACATACTACCACTACCAGAACCTTACTAAGGCCCTTTGACCTACATACTATCACTATCAGAACCTTACTAAGGCCCCTAGACCTACATACTACCACTACCAGAACCTTACTAAGGCCCCTAGACCTACATACTACCACTACCAGAACCTTACTAAGGCCCCTAGACCTACATACTACCACTACCAGAACCTTACTAAGGCCCCTAGACCTACATACTACCACTAACAGAACCTTACTAAGTCACCTAGACCTACATACTATCACTATCAGAACCTTACTAAGGCACCTAGACCTATATACTACCACTATCAGAACCTTACTAAGGCCCCTAGACCTACATACTACCACTTCCTGAACCTTACTAAGGCCCATAGACCTACATACCTCCACTACTGAAACCTTACTAAGGCCCCTTGATCTATATACTACCACTACCAGAACCTTACTTAGGCCTCTAGTCGTACATACTACCACTACCAGAACCTTACTAAGGCCCTAGACCTACATACTACCACTGCTAAAACCCTAGACCTACATACTTACCCTATCAGAACCTTACTAAGGCCTTTAGACCTACATACTTACCCTATCAGAACCTTACTAAGGCCTTTAGACCGACATACTTACCCTATCAGAACCTTACTAAGGCCCCTAGACCTACATACATACCCTATCAGAACCTTACTAAGGCCCCCAGTCCTACATACTTACCATGTCAGAACCTTACTAAGGCCTCTAGAACTACATACTACCACTACCTGAACCTAACTAATGCCTCTAGTCCTACATACTCACCATATCAGAACCTTACTAAGGCCTTTAGACCTACATACTTACCCTATTAGAACCTTACTAAGGCCCCTAGACCTACATACTACAAGGCACCTAGACCTACATACATATCCTATCAGAACCTTACTAAGGCCCCTAGACCTACATACTACCACTATACTACCACTACCAGAACCAAACTAAGGCCTTTAGTCATACATACTTACCCTATCAGAACCTTACTAAGGCCCCTAGACCGACATACTACCACTACCAGAACCTTACTAAGGCACCTAGACCTACATACTTAACCAAACAGAACCTTACTAAGGCCCCTAGACCTACATACTACCACTACCAGAACCTTACTAAGGCCCCTAGACCTACATACTTACCCTACCAGAACCTTACTAACATCCCTAGACCTACATACTACCACTACCAGAACCTTACCAAGGCCCCTAGACCTACATACTACCACTACTTAAACCTTACTAAGGCCCCTAGATCTACATACTACCACTACT